CCGCTTCGTGGTCACCAAATGTGGTTCTTTTTCCTTATCAAAAACAAGAGAGAGACAGTTTATCCAATCTCAGCGTGGGGCTTTATTTGTACAATTCAGCAATACATCACCAACACTTCATGGGGACAGCCTTCAGCCTTGACCTAAATGCCTCGGCTGGAAACCTGCTGCAAAGCCCTCTCTCCTACACCACGCAGCATCGGTTATACTCTTCTGGCCCCCACCCTCATGATTTCGGGAAATGATGGGATGGCTGTTTTAGTACCCAATATGGTCAAAGTAAGCCAATACTTACTGGAAGTTACATAAGCTGGACTGAACAACATGTTGTTGAGCACGTACGCAGCAGCTGGACAATCAAGATGTTAAAAGTGCACGTACACAGGATGCTGGGCTGATCAACATCTTGTCAAAATGCACGTACACAGAACACTGCTTTTTTGGCTCCTACAACTCTTTTGTCATTTTTACTATTTATTTATTTATTTTTAGAGATGTTTTTATGAACTCTTTCATTGAAATCTAGTCAGACTCCTTGTTTTCTCTGTCCATTAAGTCTGGCCTCCTGCTTCTGACACTGTCTTTGTGCCAAAGCATTACAGCCTCATTTGGGTCATAGTCCTTGATCTCTGGAGAACACAGCTGCACCATGAAAATATCTGAAAGTGTGTCAGGGCTAGGGTTGTCACGGTAACCGGTGTAGCGGTAAACCCCGGTAAAAAAGTTGACAACAATAATAACCGTCTTGTTTAAAAAAATATCTCGGTGGATTACCGCAGCTGCGGTGTAGGCGCGGTGACCCTTACCAGCCACCGTATCATCTGTTGGAAGTTGCCGGCGGCACATGCGCACTTTGTTGTTTACGACCAAAACTTTCTTTAAGCTAAAGCTGAAATAATGGCAGGAGGAGACGGCAGCACTTGGGACATTTATTATCCCTCAAAGAAGACAAAGTCGGAAGTATGGGCATTTTTTTTGGATATTTGAAGAATGCCGAGGGACAGTTGTCTGTGAAAGGCAGCAACGCTACGTGGCCATCATAATGTAGCCATTGTCTCACGACTCCGCCGTCTCCGGTTTGCCACTTTTCACAAAATCTTCTGGTTGCCACTGGTCCTGGTGGTTTTTCTTCCATGCTTTCGTTCTTTTTTAAACACAGAAAAAAAAGGTTTTTCTTCCAGTTCGACGAGTTTTCTTTTGGAAGGCTGGCTGACTCCAGTTAAAAACCGCCACATTTCACCGCTAGTTTTAACACGAAGCTAACGGCTAACTTGATAAACTGATTGAATGGGATAGGTGGAAATGACGTTGGATGCGGCGTTCACGTTTCGCTTACGTTTGTGTACGCTGCATGCAGGCGGGAGGAGTATCAGAAATCCGTGGAAGATGACTGATAAACATAACTAATTTGGTGCAAACATTTACTCGCCAGGTGGCAGGTAGAGCTAAAAAATTTCCTCGCCAAATGGAGCAATTTACTCGCATTTGGCGAGTGGCAAGTGTTAATTTCGGACCCTGCCCTCTTTGTATCTGAGGGAAGGAGTGACATTCTGAGGCATTTTGATAATGCCTTCAAACGTGTCAAATTCTGATTTGCCAAATTTATCAACGAAGGAGTTAATAAAACAGAATTATTTCCTGATCTAATTCAGTTTCTAGCTGCCTCCTGGTCCGGCCAAACCGGTGAACAAGCATTTTGAAACCATCCTCTCTTTTGACCTCAAGGTCAAAGCCTCTCTGCAACGCTTGCGAGTGATTACAGACACAACGGCTTTTTTAAGAGCCACCTAACAGACTCAAAAGCAAAACAAGCATTCCAGCTTCCTGTTGTCACCTGGAGATATCTCAGACTAGACGAGTCGTATCAGAGCTAATCTACAGGTTCCTGGTACCCAGAAGTTCACTCCACCGGCAGTGTCCATCCCAACCACTTGACCCCCTGGATCGCATGGGAATCACCACACAAGGGTGCGTAGGCTCGGCACAAATTGCGTTGGATGGTTTTATAAATAAATCTCTAGCTTATAAAAGCATACAGCCAAATTGATTTTACACCCCAGACTCCACAATCTCTCTGATACTTAAGAAAGGTTTTGCTAAAACATCTAACTTCCATTCCATCATTTCATCCATTACATTCAGTCACTCCATCTATTACATTCCATCATTTCATTCATACCTTGTTATAATCATTAGTTTAGGAAAATAGAAATAAATTCCTTTTTATAAACTATATACTTGCCTCTGTCTGAATTAACATGAAGTGTGTTTATGGTCCCTGAATAAGTAAAATAAACTAAAGTCTTCTGATTAAACATTCAAATATCAATCAGATGATATTTCATAGTTATATGGAATTATCACATCTTGTTGATCATATAGTACATATGTAGCCAATCCTTAACGCTACATTTTAGATGTTTATTTTTAGGGATGAGTGAGTACACCACTATTTGTATCTGTATCTGTTCAACCATCTAAATTATCTGTATCTACTCGGAGTGGGAGTGGCATAACCCGGATGTGGGTGTGGTTTAATTGGAAGTGGGTGTGGTTTATATTAGTGCATTATTTTAAATCTGAAACTGATATGGATTGATCAGAAGTTGCTATGTCTATTGTTTATTTGAAAAATATGTACAAGCATTCTCAGAATTGAGATTCAATAGTTGTGATCACAATAGTAAAGGAACTATTGCAGAACAAGTTTTTCAGAAAAATCAGAACATTAATATTTTAGTGCATGAATTAATACATCTGAACTCATGCAGTAACTAGGAAATATGAAATACTAGAACCAGACACAACTTTTTATTGAGAGAGAGAGAGAGAGAGAGAGAGAGAGAGAGAGAGAGAGAGAGAGAGAGAGAGAGAGAGAGAGAGAGAGAGAGAGAGAGAGAGAGAGAGAGAGAGAGAGAGAGAGAGAGAGAGAGAGAGAGAGAGAGAGAGAGAGAGAGAGAGAGAGAGAGAGAGAGAGAGAGAGAGAGAGAGAGAGAGAGAGAGAGAGAGAGAGAGAGAGAGAGAGAGAGAGAGACCGATGCATAGTCTCTCATCCTCAGCCCACCACTAAAGTAGTAATATCCAAATCTCTAGCTTTTATTATCTTAGCTTAAATCACGGCATGACAAAAATAGCATGAGGTGATCAGTAAACGGTGTATGGGTAAACTGTATGCTCCACAGAAACACAATTCGGCACAAAAATGGTAGTGTTGTTGGGCATTCTGCTGAGTTTATGGCTTTTTGTCAGACTCTAAACAAGGAAATGGCTGCAGGCAGTGAAGCAGCAGGCAGAAAACTCCGGAGCAACCAGTGACTCTACACCCTAGCCAATAAGCGGCCACTGTTGTGATGATGTCCCAACTCAGCCTTGCTAGGAACCTCGACAGAGCAGAGACTAAAATTGGGAAAAAGTAGAGGGAAAATACCTACCTGTGATCTTGGAAAATGTGGTCAGGCTGAGCTGCAATAATCTGAGTTATATCTGAGATATGTGGATGACACCTGGGTCAAAATCAAAACACAAGAAGTGGAATCCTTCACTACGCACATCAACGCCGTGGACAAAAACATCAAGTTCACCGGGGAAAACATAAAGGACAACTGCTTGCCTTTCCTGGACTGCGCTGTGCACTTTGAAGAAAATGGCAACCTCAACATTGAAGTGTACCGGAAGCCCACACACACGGACCAGTACCTCCTCTTCGACTCACATCACCCTCTGGAACACAAACTTGGAGTAATCAAGACCTTACACCACCGGGCAGAACATGTTCCCTCTAAGCCGGAAGGGAAAAAGAAGGAACACACACATATAAAGGAATCACTTAAAACATGCGGCTATCCTAATTGGGCGTTTATAAAGTCAGCAAAGATGTACTGAAAAGAAGACCAGACACCAGCGAGGGAGGATAAGAAAGACAGACGCAACAACCTTGTCATCCCCTATGTAGCCGGTGTATCAGAGAAACTCAGGAGGGTTTTCTCCAAACACAAGATACCAGTGTACTTCAGGCCCAGCAACACACTCAGACAGAAACTGGTTCAGCCGAAAGACAAAACTCCTAAACACAAACTGAACAATGTGGTGTATGCTGTACAGTGCAGCGAGGAATGCCCAGACCTCTACATCGGAGAAACCAAACAGCCACTTCACAAGCGCATGGCACAACATAGAAGAGCCACCTCCACGGGACAGGACTCAGCAGTTCATTTGCATCTAAAGGACAAAGGTCACTCTTTCGAGGATGCCAACGTTCACATTTTGGACAGAGAGGACACATGGTTTGAAAGAGGAGTAAAGGAAGCCATTTATGTCCACTGTGAGCAACCACCTTTGAGCAGAGGCGGTGGTTTACGACACCAACTGTCTGCCATCTATAATCCAGTTTTGAGATCCCTTCCCAGATGCCTCAACACCCACGCATATCCTGGGCCATCTGACCTCAGGAATTCACATGATAGGGTGGGGCCAGGCTTCACAATGAGCTCACCCGAAACTCTGGCTGAATAGGACCCACACCCACGCTCACACCTTGGCTCATGAAACGTCTTCAAGCAACTCAAAGAAGTCCAGACGCCTTTCTTTCAAAGCTCATTAGACTACAATGACCTGGATGACTGAGAACCTTCACAGACAATCTGAGTTACTCTGAGTTGTGTCCTTTGAAAACCAGCTGTAAAATAGCCAGAGTTCCCATCACTACATACCACTAGGCCACTGAGAAGTTAAGTGTTGACAAAACACAAATGGGCAATTAAATAATGCCCCTTTTATGACGTAATTTTCTCTCACATATTTGATCCGGTGATCACAACAGGATTCCACAGTTTCATAAGGAGGTATAATTGTCTGCTCCTGTAGCTTAAAAGCATTAGAAACATGAAAAATGTGGTTAATTGTGAGTTAACTATGAAACTCATGCTACTGATCATGATTCATTGTTTTGTCAATTGATGATCCAAACTTTTAAAATAATCAACATTTCTTTTGTCTTTTAGCCTGTCCAGAACTTCCACAGCATCATGTCTGGGAAAAGGAGGTTCTGACTGACCAGCAGCTCTCTAACCAGGAGAAAACCTCCAGATTGGACCCGAAGGAACCAGAACCTCCACTGATCAAAGAGGAACAGCAGGAACTCTGTATCCATCAGCATGAAGGGCAGTTCATTCTGAAGCAGGAAAATGTTACCTTCATGGTGACTTCTCCTGAAGAAGCAGTCTGCTGTGAACCAAACAGGAACCAACCCTTGAGTCAGAGTTCTACTGAAGCTGGGCACCGAGATCATGATGGATGCAGGAATAAAAACTCAGAACCAAACAACAGTGAAGAACTGTTACAAAATAAAAGACAGCAGCAAACCAAAGATCACAGAGACAGTGTAGACAGTCAGAAACTAAAGAAACCCAAGAGAGTTCACAGAGGTACGAGATCATTTAAAATCTGTTCTTTAAGTCATCAAATAAGAACTCACACAGGTGAGAAACCATTTAGATGTGGTACTTGTGGTAAATGTTTCTCACTGAATAGTATCTTGACAACACACATGAGAACTCACACAGGTGAGAAACCATTTAGTTGTGAAACTTGTGGTAAATGTTTCTCACTGAATAGTACTTTGACTAAACACAGGAGAACTCACACAGGTGAGAAACCATTTAGTTGTGAAACTTGTGGTAAATGTTTCTCACTGAATAGTACTTTGACAGTACACATGAGAACTCACACAGGTGAGAAACCATTTAGATGTGAAACTTGTTATAAATGTTTCCTACGGAATAGTTCCTTGATTAATCACATGAGAACTCACACAGGTGAGAAACCATTTAAATGTGAAACTTGTGGTAAATGTTTCTCACTGAATAATACCTTGACAACACACATGAGAACTCACACAGGTGAGAAACCATTTAAATGTGGAACTTGTGGTAAATGCTTCTCACTGAATAGTACCTTGACTAAACACATGAGAACTCACAAACGTGAGAAACCATATCCTTGTAAAACTTGTGGTCAAAGTTTTACTGACAGTAGTCACTTGACAACACACATGAGAATTCATACACGTGAGAAACCATATAGATGTGAAACTTGTTATAAATATTTCTCACAGAGTGGTGACTTGACAACACACATGAGAACTCACACAGGTGAGAAACCATTTAGATGTGAAACTTGTTATAAATGTTTCTCACGGAATAGTTCCTTGACAGAACACATTAGAACTCACACAGGTGAGAAACCATTTAAATGTGAAACCTGTGGGAAATGTTTCTCTCAGAGTGGTAACTTGACAGCACACATGAAAACTCAACACTAGTGAGAAATCTTTTCTAGGTTTGGTCCGTAGAGCGAGATTCAGCCAAGCATTTTATTTAAAGGTAAACTATGTAAGAATTGAATAACAGTGACATCCTGTGGTCAGATTTGGTTACTGAAGTTTGTATGTTTTAACAACCATGAAATACTATCTGTGTTTTCACAATTATAAACTACCTTTAAATGTGTGTGTGTGTGTGTGTGTGTGTGTGTGTGTGAATGAACAAGATGTTTAAATCAAATGTCTGAATAACCTGTGCTTAAATCAATTAATTTAAAAGGAATATTGTTCTTACAATGACCCATTTATTTCACAAATCGGTATGTGTTTGATTTAACAAGTGAATCATTGTCATTAAGGTTGTAAATCACCTTACATAACAGTTTTAAAGATTCTCATTCACAAAGTGTTAAAACATCTTTGTATCTGAAGAAGGCATGGCTTTCTGAGGGATGTTGGTAAAGACTCAAACGTGTCAAATTCTGATTTGCCAAACTTGACCAAAACTCATAACATTGTGGTTTACTAAAACAAGTATTCCCCATAATTTCAGTTTCTAGCTTACTCTCGAACTGGCCAATTTGGTAACGAGCAGTTTCGAGACATCTCTTTTGACATACAGTCAAAAGCCTCTTTGCGCACTACAAGCTGACACAGCCAAACGGCTCTTTTAAGAGCCAAACATCCACCTTGGACGCTGACAAGCATTCCAGCTTCCTGTTGTGACCTGGAGACATCTCAAGACCGGACATGTCGTATCGGAGCTAATCTATAGGCTTCGGATACCTTGGGGTCAAGGTCTGCCCGACTTCTGACAGTCTGGATCTGCTGGGGGTCTCCACAAGGGTATTGTAGACACAACAAATAGCGTCTGATGACCTTTATAAATACGCAACAAATTCTTTTGCAACCCAGATTTCACGAGTTCTCTCAGATACAAAGAAGGTTCAGCTAAAACATCTAGCTTCCATCACACCACCTCACATCTCATTATTCATATCTTGTCATGTATAAATTATTACTTTAGGAATAAGAATTAAATTCATTTTATAAACTATATACCTGACTGTCTGAATTAATACGAAGAAGGGCTGGGCGATATATCGATATTCTTTAAATATCGGTATAATTTTTAAACAAGATATAAGATGACTTTATATCTTTTTTATCGATATAACTGGCCAAACTGCTATGCTAGCGATTAGCCGCTATGCTAGCGACATGTTGCTCCGTCTCTAAGCGGCTATTACGTGTATTCTCACAAGTTTGCTCAGTCTGAGAGCCTCTGCGCAAATGTGCTGCTCTAAACTTTGCATTTGGCCTCCTGGTTTTTAATTATTTGGGGACGTTCAATGCCAACGGAGTTCTGTTCTATTTCGTCTAGTCTTAGCCCTTAAGCTAGCTGCTATTGGAAGGATGATCTCCGCATCAGCCAATCATGAAGAGCTTAAATGTACGCCCACCAATAGTGGGCCCCCTCGTGGTATATAACCGCAGTGACCCCACTGCTCACCTCCTTTTTCTCTTCATGCCAAGCTTGAGAGCTTTATTAAAGAGCAAATATTATCTCAAAAGAGCAAATTATCCGAAGACGACTTACCAGCCATGTCCAGCGACACCAGACCCTGCCCGACCTGCCAGACGGGCTCCATTTCCAGCGGCGACCTGCACGCTAAGTGTGAGGTCTGTCTCGGGGCTCACCACGCTGGCCTGGCCTTGACCCCGCAGGCCTCGTGCCCGTTCTGTGCCGCTCTGCCCGTGGCGGAGAAGATTCGCCGGGTCGAGTACTTCACTCCCGCTGCTGACGAAGAATTTCCGGTGGCTGACTCCTACCCGCTGGACAAGGCTTTGGTTTTCTTCGACGCCGGTCAGGAGCCGGCTGGCTTCTACCGGCTGGATGACGTCACTGACAGCGAAAACTACGATGAGGCGGCGTCCCTCCTAGACATGACGGAGGTCGAAGAGCTTCGCTCAGCGGGTCCTTCTGCCCCAGTGGCTTCTCGCTCCTCCCTGCCAGCAGTAAGAGCACTGCTCCAGGAGCTGCCCGCCATCATTTCTGCGTCAGCAGCCCGCAAGGGGCTAGCTGTGCCAGAACCGGCCCTGCCTGAAGCGGATGATTTGGCGGGAATTTTCGGGGCAACTCAGACACGCTGTCCAGACCCTGTCTGGCCGCGCTTCCCCGCTGCTATGAGCTGCTGGTCTGCCGCCTTCTCCGAGCCTGCCAAGCTCAAGGCGCCAGTCTCCACATATGCGCCCATCACCAAGGTCGAGGGGTTTTCCGACCAAGGCTGGCCGTCCGTTCCTCCACTAGAGCCGGATTTGGCCTCGCTGTTCGGCGCCAAGAACCACCTCGCTGGCCCGCGAGCTGTTCCCGCTTCAAAACATGACCAGCTGCTGACGCGGCTCACCGACCGCGCACATCAGTGTGCCTTTCAGACCGCCGCTGCAGGGAATAACATCGCCCTTCTTGCCTTCGGCGTCTCCAAGATGATGGAGGAGCTGGAAGCTCCCGAGGAGTCGAAAGCCGTCATAACTAAGACTGCTGATGCCATCCTCAATCTGTGTGCTGCTGTGCTCACCGGTTCTGCTCGCATCGCTGCCTGGCAGACCCTCATCCAGCGAGCGATCTGGCTGAAGGCCCTGCCCTCCATTCCGGAACATCTGCAAAGGGAGATGCTGGATGGCCCCATCACCACCGATGTTCTGTTTGGTCCCCATCTTAGGGGCGTCATTGAGAGGGCTCAGAAGACGGCCGAATTATCGGCTACGGTGCGAGACCTGGTTCACCCTCGGTCAGCCTCGCACTCCGGCCGTTCAGCCAGAGGATGGGACGAACGGCGCGGAAGCTTCAGACGTCCAGCTGCACCGCCCGCTCCACGGAGCCGGCCTCCCGCTTCGGCTCCACATCAGCGGGACCAGCGAGATGGCGGACAACGGTTCCGGCGGGGCCAGCAGACGCCGTCTTGGCAGTCCCAGGTGCAGGAGCCTCGCCGAAAGCAGCCACGGAAGTGACTCTTTGGGGGGAATGTGTGTGTACATGATTGTTCTGATGTTGTTGGTTTTGAAATAAAACCCAAAAAACGTCACTCAAAGAGCACAATCCTACAGTCCTCCGCAGAATCCTCTGCCGAGTTCTCACACATGTTCCCCACACCAAGCACTGCTGCACGCACACATGTTCCTGCAGGTAGTCATAATACACGGCCAGCCGTAAGGGTGCGCTCCATTTGCGCTCTGGCCCCAGCATCCGGCAAGGCCCAACTCGTCCCGCTCTCCCCACGCCGTTGGGTGGGGCGGGATGTCATGTCGCTGTCTCGACCACGCGCGGCGGCACAGTGCGCGGCTCCATCCGCTAGCACTCTGTCGCCCCCGTGCACAGGCCCGGCTCCCACTCGTCCTTCACTCTCGGACTCCACGCTCCGCGGTGTGGACCAGCCTGTTCCAGCTGTTTCTCACTTGCCCTTTCGAGCGCAGCCCTCCATGGGTCGCCCGCAGTTCTCTGGTACGGGCGACGGCGGTAAGGGCGCATGCACAACCCTCAGACGTTGTTCACGTGACCGCGCACATGCGTCCACTGTCGGAACGCGCGCACGAGTGGCGCCGCCTTTGCATCATGAGCAAATGGATTTCGGACACCATTCATTGCGGGCACACACTTCATTTTCAGGCCACTCCACCTCCCTTCAACGGGATCGTGGAGACGACGTTCACATCGCAAGTACAGTCTCAGGCGCTAGAGCTGGAGCTGCGGGAACTTCTGTCCAAAGACGCTATTTCCCGAGTCCCTCGCGGACAAGAACTCTCGGGTTTCTACTCCCGCTACTTCGTAGTACCGAAGAAGTCGGGAGGAATGAGGCCGATTCTCGACCTGTCCCTGTTCAACTGCTCCATAGCAGTAATGCATTTCCGCATGTTAACGATGAGACAAGTCCTGGAATATGTGCGCCCCGGGGATTGGTTCACATCAATCGACCTGAAAGACGCATACTTCCACATACCAGTAGTTCCAAACCACCGGAAGTTTCTGTGTTTTTCGTTCAAGGGAGTTCAATATCAGTTCAATCGCCTCCCTTTCGGCTACTCGCTAGCCCCGCGCACTTTCTCCAAATGTCTGGAGACCGCGCTGCAGCCACTGTGCACGGAGGGAATGAGGGCCTTATTTTACCTGGACGATCTTCTCCTGTGCGCTCGGTCCGAGGACGAGGCGTCACAGCAAACCAGGAGGTTGACAGAGCATCTGTCGACCCTAGGGTTTTCTATAAACTGGGAAAAGAGCTCCATCCTTCCATCCCAGTCGATTGTGTATCTCGGGGTGGAGTTGGACGCCTCCCTAATGAGAGCACGTTTGTCGCCTGCAAGAGCGGCAGATCTCTCCACGGTGATCTCCCGTGTTCAACCCCGCAAGATCGTGAGAGCCCGGTTAGTCATGAAACTCCTGGGCATGATGTCCGCAGCCCATTCAGTAGTGCCGCTAGGTTTGCTGCGCACGAGGCGCTTGCAACGCTGGTTCGTCCGCCTCCGGGTACACCCAATACGTCAGAAGAGACGTATGTTGAGGATTCCCCCTTCAGTGGGCGGGGACCTCGCTCACTGGGGGTTCCCCTGCATCCTCTCACGCGGGGTTCCCATCGGACGTCCTGCGTCACACGTATCTGTGTTTACGGATGCGTCACTGTCGGGGTGGGGGGGCACGTGCTTGTCCCATACGGTGGCAGATCGCTGGCCCTCCCACACGCACGAGCACATAAATGTGTTGGAGCTTATGACAGTGAGGAATGTGATCAGACACTTCGCTGCCCTTCTCGAGGGCCGTCATGTCGAAGTTCACACAGACAACCGGGTAGCGGCAGCCTACATAAATCGCCAAGGGGGAGTTCGATCCCTCCCACTGTTGCGTGTCGCCACAGATTTACTGTGTTGGACACATGTCCACCTGCTGTCCATCAGAGCCATCTACATTCCGGGGGTACTGAATGTAGCGGCAGACATTCTGTCGAGAGGGGGACCCCGCGACTCCGACTGGCGTCTACATCCTGCACTGATATCACAGATCTGGATCAGGTTCGGGGAACCGTCTGTGGATCTGTTCGCGGCTCGCGAAAACGCTCAGTGTCGCCTGTGGTTTTCCCTGAGTCCCCGGGACGGACCCCCGCTCGGGGCGGACGCCTTCTCACACCAGCCCTGGCCTCGAACGCTCCTTTACGCGTTTCCACCAGTCCCTCTGATTCCCCGTCTCCTGGACCGAATTCGGTCGGAACAGCTCTCGGTGATTCTGGTGGCTCCCAGGCGCGTGTCCGCGTCATGGTTTCCGGACCTGCAAGCGCTAGTGTCCGGCTCCCCGTGGAGGCTCCCGTGGAGAGCGGACGCCCTTCTCCAGGCGGATGGGATAATCAAACATCCTCCGGAAATAGGCCAACGGCTGTGGGTCTGGCCGCTGAGCGGTCACGCTTAGAGGCTTCTGGGCTGCCGCATGATGTGGTGGCCACGATTCAGAGTGCGCGGGCGCCCTCTACCATTGCCTCTTACGCTGCTAAATGGGCAGCTTTCCAGAACTGGTGCGCAGAACGGAATGTTCAAGCGCTCTCCTGCCAGCTGGCGGATGTCCTATCGTTTTTGCAGATACTGATGGACAGGGGCCTCGCATTCAGCACTGTTAAGACATATGCTGCAGCTATCTCATCATGTCATCAGGGTTTTGGAGATGGATCTGTTTTCAATCATCCCCTCACAAAACGTTTTCTAAAAGGTGTCAGAAGGAACAGACCTGTGTCCCGCCCGCTTTTTCCCCAATGGGATCTAACGGTGGTTCTGCACGGCTTATCTGAAGCTCCATTTGAACCCTTGGACCAGGTCTCACTCAAGTTCCTGTCGCTTAAAACTGCATTGCTGCTGGCGCTAGCATCAGTTAAGAGAGTGAGTGACCTAACCGCCCTCTCAGTGGCTCCCGCATGCCTCAGGATCCGGGAGGATGGCGGGTCTGCTGTTTTATGCCCCAACCCAGCCTTTGTGCCCAAAAGCATTAATGCTTCCTTCAAATCCAGGTCAATTTCATTGGCT